GTGACAGACTAGATTCTTATTAATTTAGCTTAAGGTTTAGTACCCTGAAGCTGGGATTCGACCATCATGGTGGCATAAGCTAGGGGCATCTAGAGGTGAGAGGCTAGATAGCACTGCAGTAGGCACTGATGTAGAATTGAGATGTTAAGGAATCAACCTTAAGTTAGCTATTTTTCTTTACAAGCACCCGGAGGGGATAAAGAATAAAATATATTTTTATTTGTCACAATAACTCAATTTTGTCTTAAATCATTTGAATCCTACATAGATTTAAATCTCTTTACAATGGGACATACTTTTCTTAATATCCAAACTCGTTGTTATATTTTGTTAAGCTGTTACATTTAGTTGTTACTTTTTTAACTCTTTTGTAGTAATTTTTAGAAAGCATATCATTTTAAATCTCTTATCTTTTTAATTTACAATTTAAATAGAATTTTTGTAAGTTGATTTTAAAAGTTACCACATTCATCGTGGAATCGATACTGGGGGTTTTAAGTAAAATCTTATATTACTTGAAACGATACGTATACTTGCGTAGTATCCCTAGTGTGAAATTTTATTATATAATTTTTAAATCATTACATTTTTTCACACTAGCCCCTTGATATAATTTAAGACATATTTTATGGCAAAATTATGGAGATTAAAAATACAAGTAATTGCGGGTCAGGTCATTAATCACTTTGATTGAGGCCAAGAATTGCCCTCTTTAGATCGTTTGGTTGGTGACTTATATCCAAGGTTGGATTATAAAGCACACAACCCAACTCTGAGCCCGCCCTGAACTTAAACTCTTATACCCAGCCTTAATCTTCTATATGTGACATTGCCTTTTTTTTTATTCAATCAGGTTTTCTTGCGACTTGTTTAAGTTCTCCTCAGATTTTCTTAGGATTTGTTTAATTTTTTTACACATTACATTATTATGTTGCACTAACCTTGCAGCAGCAGCAAGAATCCTAGGACTTCAAGGTAGTTTGTCTAGCACGACGTAAATCCTCATTTTATCCTTAGGCTTTTGCACAATCATGTTATGCAGTATAAGTCCTAACTCTCTTTAGTCTCTGAGGTTAAACCCTTTTATCTTCCAGACTATTTGCATGATCAGATATCATGTAGATGTAAATCTTAAATAAAAAAAAATTGACAGGATTGAAACATCTAATAACATCGTCTCTAAAATACAGCCGAACCATAAGATAGTTTGGGAAGTCACTCAGGGTCTCCACATGATCTATGACATCCCCTATTTCTCACCCCTTTAGATTCCTAGAATAAATGCTCCTATTTGGTCCTTCTCAGCTTGACTTTCCATGTCCAATCTTGAAACCTAAACATGAACTCTTGAAGACAAAGTACTCTGATCAATATCAAGGGTTTTCTTAAGTGACTTTGGTCATTTATGATGTAATTAACTATAAGGGTTTGACTCTATGACTCTATAGGGACTATAAGGGTTTGACTCTATAGGGAACTAAAGAACCCAAATAATATAAATCTTATCTAATTTTAATATTAGATAAAGGAATTTTTCGGCCATACAAAAAGAATCGCAGACCAAATGATGTCATAAAATCTTTAGTTTATTTAATCGAGCTCGTTGTAAAGTAGTATGTGTCTATTCCTCGGGATAAGTGCATTGTTTGTAGTGTTGCGCTCCGTTACTTAAAATATTAAAATGTAAAATATATTTTTAGTCTCATTTTCAAATTAAAAATATATTTTTCAAAATTTTATATATAAAAATATTTTTCAAAATTAAAATGCAACCGACCCAAAAGGCGATCTACAGTGCCCATGCTGACCCAAGAAATCTAGCGGCCACATTAAAAAAGAGTGTGAACACGCCAACAAGCGAGAAACATTTTGGAAAGGAAATTTGATGGCCTGAACTGTGATTCTTGCCATAAAATCAAATCTTAGGGTTTTTTTGAGGGAGTTCTGCATCAGAGAATGCTTGGAGGTTGAGAGAAGAGGGTATGGGAGAGATTTTGAGGGCTCTCTTGAAGGTTGTTTTCCTCATTGGGTGGAAAACTGTAAGGGAGAGTTTTTTTTTTTTTTAATTTATGAGTTGTGTGAGTGTTTATGAGAGGGAACTAGCTTTGCAGAGAAAATAATTTCTTGTAAGTTTTTCATTTTTATGTTGCTTGCAATGAATTTTCATATGGTTTTTTTCGCTATGGTTTTCTCTGTAATGAGTGACTAAATTTTTCTTCGTCTCTTGTGTTTTCATGGTCTTCTTGTTGGTTCACCTCATATCTTAATTTATTTTTATTCTGGCTAACTAGGATTTTAAAATGCTTCATAAACTATGACATATAACTGTTGTGTAGTGAAAATGAAGGGTTAACCATAAAAGTCTAATAGGATAGAAATATTCCAGTGGAATTCTAGATTCTTTCTAATGGATCGAAATAGTTATGTGAAATATCATGTGGATTGAGGAAGCTTTAACTTCATGAATTCTAGGCTTTTTTTGACCTAGAAATAGGCACAAAGAGTTATATGTCCCTGGTTGACAACAATCACGTAGAAGAGAAATTAGGAAAAATAAGAATCGCCATGATTCTTGAATCATTGAGGCATGAACCTCATCTATCTTGAAGCAACTCACAAACTACCCTCATGTTTTCTGCTTTTCTTTCAATTACAAAGTTCTCTATTTTGCTATGATCTTAAGACTTAAGAGCCTCCTTTTGATAAACGTTATGCTAGGTTAGCTGAATTAGTAAACTAGAGATTTTTTTATGTGGAAAAAAAATATTATATTTTCCCTGTGGGATTGATAATCAATACTTTTGAACCGTATTACTACTTGATACGTGCACTTAAGTTGTATGACGGATTATGTCCCGATAATTTTTTACGCATCAATGGGCTCCAACTCAGAATGGACATTGCTAAAGGAACTTTGGAGCGATGCAACCTTCGCCTCTAGCCTGGCAATGTTGGCTGACCTGAGTCAAAGTGAGGCAGCCTCTACCTACAACCACTCGCAACGAACAAACTACTCCTGTGCAGGTGCTTCGGTAGGAACTTTAGCTACTTAGGTCGAAGGGCCAACCATATCCCTCATTCAACTCTCTAATGAATCGGAGGACAACTGCCGACCCTGCAATTCCTTCTGATGTTAATTGCTGAAGTGGTTAATTGATGTCCATAAAATTAGTTCAGCCGCAGGATGGGTGCCACAATCAATCCTAAAGGCGCTGCAACAACCATCGGGGCAGAATCAATAACGTTCTTAGATGACCCGCCATCAGTGCGAGCCTCCGGAGCAATCAGCTCATCTGCATTAAGAATAGTGAAAGGAATATTATAAATTTGTCAAAGAGATGTTTTTACATACCCAAAAATCTTTCTAATTTAGAAAAAGTCGTGAATTCTTCTATTGTTAGGGTTGGAGCCACTCCGTCCTTACATTGCGAAGGGGGCAGCGGAGGTTCGGTGACGACTTTCCTTTTAATCCCTACTGACCACCCTTAGTAGGAAAAGAGGCTCGCTCATTTTCCTCAACAGTTGCACCAACACTCAGGCCAGAAGCCAAATGAGGGTTCACCGCCGATGTTTTCTTCAATGATCGATTATCATAGCTATCAAAAGAGGCAACTTGATCGATCTGCTCAGGTTTGGGTGTTGTCTACTTCTTTTTCTTTATAACTCTTACTTTTTCTTCATGTGTTTCTTGCCCAAATCATCGGTCATGGTGTCGATCGAAAAACTTTAGAGTGAAATGATTGGAATGTTATAACTCGAGCCTCATGCCCTTATTTATAGTGTTTGTTTGATACAATAAACAAAATCGAATTTATTATTAAGTTATTTTTTTTTATTTATGTGTCATTTATTGCTCGTTAATTTTCCTATCTGCATCGTGGCACTTGTCATCAAGAAGCAGGAAAATCGGGGAACTACATATATACTACAAAAAATGTCAGCACAAATCTTGAGGAGATCGAACGACCAGATATAGAGGCATTAGAAAGAAGTTCCGAGCTATAGAACATAAGTCTCGCCAACGAATAGTCGGTTGGCTTTACGACAGAATCGACCGACTTAAAGTTCTGAACGACTGAGGTTTCTGGCCGACAGAACCATCAAACGAAAGAACATAAATAAGTGAACGAGCATTTTTGTCGAGCAACTGGATCTCTATCAAAAAAATATGGTCGACCTCTACAGTCGACCTACGTCAATTTGTTTTGTTTGATCAAGACTTTGGACAATCAACCGATGTCAACTTTTATGGTTGTTACCATGTAATCTTTATTTCGACAAACGCGCGTTGATTCAATCATTCAAACAGTTGTAGTAATTAATCTTTCCTTATATGTAATTGTATCCTGAAGACCTATATAAATAGAAAATTATGACATTAATAAAAGGACCTTCTAAACTATATTTTACAATCATATTTTATAGCACGATAGCTTAAAAAAAAAAAAGTTAATGTTTGAATTTCTTAAACGCAACATGTAAAATATTCTCGACAATCATTAAAAAGTTAATTTTTCTACAACAACTCTGCAATTATCATTAAAATACTTAAAAGCATCTTATCATTTAGGTCGAGACTTAAATTGGTTTGGTCCCGACACGATCAACTTGTCATCACATTAATAAAATTACTTTTCTTCTACCATGATCCCACTAAATCCTTTTATTATCACTCTTATATGTTTACTTAAGGAGCATTTTCATACATACCAACCCAATTTCTATGTATTTACATACGTGGCACGCAGCGATTGGAATCCTGATACAGTTTTACACCTGATGCACTATTTTCTCAATCATACTGGTTTTGGGTGGCTAAATTTTAAATTTTAAGTGGTAAAGGTGTAAAATTTGAAATTTGGGGTGGTATATATGTAAAAACCCCAATAATTTTGTTGGGGGTTGGGTAAGGAAGACCGTTAGTTGGACAAACGAAGACCGTTTGGTTTAAGAAGTAAATCACCTTCACGCTGTTGCGCACTACTTATAAAGTTCACTCCAATCTTCGAAGCCCTCCATCCCCCCAAACATGGTAGCCCTAAAACTTCTTCAGCAATGCCGGATTTCTCCACCGCCGTCCACCGTTCCCCGGCCGCCTCTCCCCCTCACCTTCTTCGACATACCCTGGCTCAACGTCAATCCCGTCGACCGCCTCTTCTTCTACCGTTTTCCTCACTCGACCGCCGAGTTTCTCGAGTCTCACCTCCCCAATCTCAAATCCTCCCTCTCCCTCACCCTGAGCAGTTTTTACCCCCTCGCCGGAACCATTCGCCGGTCCTCTCCGGATGACAATCGTTTCGAACTCTGTTATTGTGAGGGTGACTCTGTTTCTCTCACTGTATGCGAGTTTGAAAATATCAATTTTGAGGAGTTTTCCGGCTATCACCGGCGGCCGTTTGGGAAGCTGCTTTTGTTGGTTCCTTCGCTGCATAAGTCTGACGAAGCACAGCCGGTGTTCGCCGTCCAGGTTAAGAACTATAATTTATATCAGGATAATAACGTATAAGGTTTAAAGTTGTCAGATAAATCTTATTTATTTATATATCTTCCATCTAAAATTTCATATATATA